TAGCGGGCTAGAGGTAAGAGAATAGGAATGGAAGTAGTTGGAGAAGGTCTGGTAATAGTGATATTTGGTGCATATTCTCTGATGAGATGGTTTTCCTGTTTGAGCCATTCAGAAGCAGGGATCAATGAATCATGAAACCAATTCAGTGGTTCATGTACATTTAGATAAGCTCTAATTAATCCTAAGTATAATTAAAGAGTTCTATAATTGTGGGTTAGACCGATAATTCTATTAAAGTAGTGATAGTTAATATATAGTTTATACTAGCAGCCCTGCCTAGAGAGCAATTCATGAAGATAGAAGAAAGGTATTTCCTATAAACCATAGAAACTTCTTGAATTTGAGAAGAGATTTGAGATAATACTAGTGGGTATTGTCGGGTTTTCTTATTCTTGCATTCACTACAAACAGCAACTTGAACAATGTTTCTATTGTTTAATCGAGTGTGTATAGGAATCGAGAAGGCTTGAGGCAAAGTATACGAAGCATTTTCATTATAAGTTATCCATTCAGTTGAAGATGGCATTATGAGCATTAAGCAGTAGATACAAGAAATTTTAAAATACTTAAGCAAAATTTTGGTCTGAAATTGACGTACAAGAACCTGAAGAGTAGAAGTTAAGTGTTAATACAAATAATTAATAGATCTGCTGGATATAAAAATGGCAATTGAATTATTAGATATAGGAGCACTCAAATTATTAGATATAGGGGTATTTAATAAGTTTTGATTTATTTCATTTCTACGAGTATAGGGATTAAAGATGACATCTGTAGGAGGAATAGCAGAAGCTTCATTGAATTGATATAATGTTTCAGCAAAAAAGGAAAGTTAAATGCATTGAATATTATAGTTATACATAGTAGGTTTGTTGAAAATTTAGAAGCAATAGATCTAACATATTATGTAGATAAAGCAATGTATAAAGAGCTTTGAAGAAATTTTTTGAGTTTATAAAGTTTTTTTAACTTTACACAGCATTAATATAGAAATAGAACTGGTATAAGTTTCAGAGTAAGGATCTGAGAACACATCGAATCAGTAATAAAATATAATAGATTGTATTAAATGTAATAATATCAAATTAAGCATCTAAATGATAAGTTTTTTTTTATTATACAATTAAAGATAACGAATTATATTGTTTAAATAATATAGGTTTAGTCAGCAAGTACGGTATTTAAAATATATAGTCAACTTTTTCTATAATGAACTGAAGACTTTGGAAGAAAAAAAAGTTTGTTATAGGATAATTAGTATATTTTCCTAAGAACCCATGCTACTTTTTACACTAAACTATTATGAAATTTCAAAATTTTAAGTTTGTTATATTCAGAGTTCACTATAGGAAGGTTCGTAATATCCAGAGTTGACTATATTTGATGATATCAAAAGAATATATTTGGTAAGAGTTAGCGATGCAGTGCAAATAATATCTAAAGAATCAAATTTAATTTATATCACTATATGATCTTCTTTTTTAAAAGTACAGTTAGAGCAATTTAAATAAGAATACTTGAAGTACATATTAAATTTTTGATATTTTTGTTATATAACAATCTGAAGAAATTATATCAATTGTAGTTTGTTATTTTTTTTATCTATATTTATTTATATTTATTTTTTTCAAAGAAATTATAAAGGGTAATATATGGTAATAGAAATTCTATTTTTTTAAGGGTAAGAGAGGTCTTAAACCTTTTCTAGTTTGTTTAGCATTTTTATCTTAAGAAAAAAGAGGATTAGTAGAAACATCTGTAACAGGTTCATTATTATTAACAGTAGTAGCATCAATGCTTTTTCTAGTATTTGAAAAAAGAATAACGTTATTATTGGTATCAGACGAATTATTTTGATTTGTGTTTTCTGATATAGGATCTACATCATTATATTCTGAAGGATGTTCATTGGTACGAACTTGAGAAACAACATTCATAAAATTAACAGAAATAGGGTTGTCACTTGATTTTCTAGCAGATGTTGAATATAAGAAAAGCTTTAGTTTTTTTGTGAAGGTTGAGAGGATAAAGTAGCATATTTCTCTTCAATACTATTTAGCTAGTTATCTAACACTTCGCGAGATCTTGTTTTTTTTTATCTAAAGTACCCAAAGATTGTGATTCATTATTTAAGTAAATCCACTCAATATCAGAGGTGACAATATGTGGGATCTTAGATGATTCAATTTTTAATTTTCCGATAACCGATAAAACAGTTTTTTGCAGATTATTTTTCATTACATTGTACTGATTATTCTCATTTATATAGGAGACAATAACATTTGAAGAAATATGTTTATTATTAGTAACACCATTGTACGAATGTTTTACAAGCATAAAACTTTCCTTCTTTCCTTCATTGTCTAGATAGTAAGAACCTTGCACAATGGGAGCAGAAAAGAGAAGCAAAGGTGATGAATATGGGAAATCAGTAGAAGTAAGAATATATTCATCGTTAGAAAATAATATGGATATAGTTTGTATTAAAGTGATCTGTACAAAGATAAAGATTAATTAGCTTATTACAGAAGTTTATAATAGTCAAGAACCTGAAAATAATTTTATATATATTCTGTATTATTCTCATATACATATCATCTGACTACTAAAACAATAGAGTTTTTTTCAAGAGAGGATATTAAGGATTCGGGGTTACTAATAAAGCCTTTAAATGTAATTTCCCTAAAAGCATCAACATCATTATTGATACAATATAAGCCGGTTTCAGAAACATATTTATCACTTCCACTAACGGTTTAACAAAACAAAATGATATAAAGATCGAAGACATAATAAAATATTTAGTACGAATAAGGGTTGTTGAGAAATATAAATAAGCAGCAAAGCTTGTTTGAATGTTTTTTTTTAAGTATTACTAATTATTCTGGTGAGTTTTACCCTTTTTATAGATACAGAAACATGTATAGATAATTATGAACAGATAAGGTCGTGTAAAAATACTTAATCATATACAGTATAAGATAAATCAATAATAATATAAGATATCAACAAAGATATTATAAGAACAATGTGTTGGTAAGCATTTATTCTTCGATTTAGATATTTTTTCTTTAATTAGATATTATATGTTACTTTTTTTTTTTAAAGGAATCTTACAATGCTATTATCATATTTAGCATGACTGTAAGAATAACAATGATCTTATTATACCATTGTAAGAATCAGATCGAGGACATGAATAGCTTTTATATTATCAGTAGATAATGGGTTCTAGTTAGTAGCACAAAAAGGGTATTGTAAAATGTGTGCCAATTGGTATTGACCGGACATCTAATATTTTCTGTTTATCGTGGTAATCAAGATTGAACGGTACAGTTTCAAATATGTAAATAATTTAGGAGACATTTGCCAAATTGCAGTGAGCGATTATATGAGACAAAAGTTATGACGAAAGGCTTAGATAAAAAAAAAAAAAAAAAAGGTAAATCGTATGATCGTAGTAGACAATATTACAATCAAGGATTCATTACAAATCAGGAGAGAAAAATCAGACAAAAGTTATATCGATTTTACGTAATTAAATCTTTGATTTTTATCTCAGATAGCTTAAGATAACCGAACATTTTATTGAGGTACTGTAATTTTTTAGCAATGTCGTGTGATACAAAATAAATACGCACGCACATAGTATATCATCGATCGATATAAGTTTATTATCGCGCGATTATTTGCAATTATTTTGTTTACCATATTAAGAGTGATAATTGCTAAGCAATGGTATATATCATTAAATTTTTGACAGACTGACAGACATGCAGCGCAGCATTTAATCGAAGATCTTATCTAGGTAAGAATAGATGAGCACGATAGATATTGTTTTACTTATTTAGTTAGGTTTAATTATCGAATTCATTGTTATTTTATTTATTTTTTTGGTGCTAGGAAAATTTGGTAGAAACGATCTCTATGAGGAATAGTAAGTTGGTTAGTCATGTGTAAAGACCGAATACATGATATCTAATTTCATTGAGTGGTCAGACTGTGTTTAGATGAAAAACCAATAATACAAAATCTACATATCATTGCATCGGTTTGGAGAATAGAACGTATTCAATCATTAAGCGTAGGAAGAAATATTTTATGATAAATCATAAAGTTTTAAATATACAATTTATTTTTAAGATAACGTTTTTATATGTCGTCTATCTTGAACATTAAAAACTATAAAATATTTATCAATACAAAAGTTCAAATTATCTTATACATCTTAATAAAAAAAGTAAGAGCAAAATACAAATCAGTAAATTTATGTTTCACAAATTTGACGTAGCCTTTTGAGAGCGATAAAAATTCCGAAAAATCAATCTCATTAACAGATCAAATTTAGCGGTAAATGATTGGCTCAGCGAAACACAAAATACTGTAATTCTTAGCGATTATCAATTCATCTAGACGGTAAAAAATCCGAAAGTAAAAAATTAAAAAATCTAAAAATAATCAAACCTTGTCTAGGATTCTATACTAAATCAGTAATTTTTGTTAATAAATCAACACCAAAGGTATAAAATTTACCAAGTCTCATCAAATACTTTGTTTCCCGCATGAGCTCTACCAGAGCTCTACCAGAGCACTATAAGTTGAAGAGCAAGAGCACAATAATAGTCTGTATAAAACGCGATCAATTTCGTGATACTAGAAGTAACCTTTTTTAGCCATTTTTTCGCTATAAATGGCCATCAAACGGGGGCAAAAATGCAAATCCGGCAGATTTGCGTTTCACAATTATGAACGAGTCTTTCTAGGGTGTTAATTGACGGCAATTAGACCTAATATATCAATTTATTTAACAATTCTGTTTAGTCACTAAGTTACTCTTAAGCCTTTAATTTGAAAATGAAAACGATATTTAATAATTTATAGCGTTGATTTAATTGACCGGTTGTAAGTTTGATACTATTGACCGAAAATGGGACATATATTTGGTTTTGCTTATTATCCAATAAAGTAGAAATCCTAATTCCTAAACCAAACGCACTAAACTAGTCATCATACTCAATATCAAATTCATCCTAAAATTAGTAAATAGGTCAAGTTTGTTAATTTATATTCAAAATTTGGTTGATTTACTCCAATCATTATATCAGGATAATAAAATATCATTATTATTGCTAACGTTACCTTGGGTTCTTTCGGTTCTTGATCCTCTCCAAATTGCAACGCATTATCCACGTGAGACATCACAGCTGTTATAGAATCTTCGTCATTTATATTTAACGGAAGAAAACTAACCATGTTATAATCATCAATCTACAAATAAATTATGTTAATTCCAGATTTAAATTAATATACTGAATTTCCTGATGAAAAATTTACCAATTGTACAATTGCTCTATTCAAATCGTGGTACTTCGGATTCATTGTTGTATTTGCTTCATCAGCTAACAACAAAGGATCTGGATCGAAATACCTAAAAATAAAATTTAATAGTATTAATTAATTAAATAATAGTTAAGGTAATATACATATCTACAAGAGACAATAATTTGCGCTCGCCTTTCTAACTCCCTCTTTCTGACCTTTCCTAACAAATCCATTTTTGACAGAACGTTTATATGCGGTATTTCTAAACTAACCATTGCTGACATTGCGCTCATGACTCCAGCAAAAAATTTAGAATTATCCTGTATAAATTGACTTTCCAACAAATAAACTCCGCAAATACGAAAATGCATCCTTTGCAAACATTCACAAATACGCCGCATAATTGGAAAATGTGTGTAAAGCTCAATCTGACCTTATCATTAGAAGAGCGAGTCGCAAATGATCAATTTGAGCATCAAATCTAATAAATGAAATATATTATGAGCCTACTATCATTAATAAATACCTGGACAGTCGATAATCAAATAATCATCCTCATATTCACCCAATTCTTCTTCCAACCAATCCATATTATTTAGTAAAAATCTTATAATTTATTATAAATGTAATTGTAAATATTAATGTTGATTTAAAAATTTTCGTTAATTAAACGTACTCGAGACAATATATTAACCCTCCATTAGGTCCATACTGTAATTCTTCCATGACATCTTCTAAAGTGATAAGATCTCGAATGTCTAAATTTACATAATGACAAATGTATTAGAGGTTTTTTGAGCTAACTTATCAACAATAAATTCAAGATTTAATAATACCTATCGTAGGATCATACTCAAACTTTTCGGCTGCGGGATCAAGGTTAAATAAGTGTACAGAACGACCTATGTTTTGGCAGTAGGTCATCATTGTAGCGCAATAAGTAGACTACCGCGTATAATGTTTAAGAGTAAGGAAACAGCGGTCAATTCAAAAATCTGAAAGTGCCGCTTAGCGTCAAGAAACTCGTGTCTTCTAACCTTTCCTGAGCCTGCAGGCCCCATTACAAGTTGGACATAACGACCCCTATAAAATAATTATTAATTCTTTATTTTTACGAAAAAAAATGTGTGATCTACCTACATTGTATTTTCCTGAAAAATATCTAATCCTGCGGTAATGCGGTTTTTCTCACAATGCACAGTATAACGTTCCGTCACTGAAGACTCGATTTTGATTGGCTGTTATGTATATGTAGTCAGAGAACGTGCCGTATAAAGGGGATGGCTAAAGATCATTCCGTGATTTTAGAAGATCTGATTGGCTAATAGACTTATACTAAAAAAAACGAACCCCAAAGTATTTCGCAAGTTATTAATTGAATAAAGGTAAAGAGAATGAAGAATACATTTATTTAAATTATAATAATTACGATAATGTATTACTTGGATCTGATAGTCATGGTTAAACATATAATCAGATTAGATTTAAAAAAAAAAAAAAAAATTGACGATTTACTAGATGCAAAGAACCTTATATTAAAACAAAATCGCTTAATAAAAAATAATAAATGAATTGAAATGAATTATTAGCTACAATAGGTTAAAAGGCACGCGAAACTCAAACCTATCTTTTTTTACTTATTAAAATTTTAATTGACAAAAGTTGAAACCAGTTTCGACTTTCGTTAATATAAACCTTATGTTTCGTCTAATAATTATAATCTAAACGCATTATCAATCTTCAGAACAGACTCGCTTATTAGAGTTCAAAAAAAAAAGTGCTAATACTTTTTTTGTTTTAAAGATTCTTATATATTATAAATGACAACTAAGTTAAAAGAAGACGCTCTATAGCTAACCCTCATGATTACTCCTCCGCTTTCGTGATTATTTTGACTGTATATAAAACGAAAGGTGTAGTTTTTGAATATGTATTTAAAGTATATATGTTAATACATTTCAGTGATTGACCAATCGGATTTAAAGACCGCTATGCTACCTGGATTAACAGGATTCTCAAAACGAGTGCCCTGATTTCCTCCGCCACTTCTGATTGGCTGTACGTACTAATTATTCATTTATCGGAGCCAATCCAATTTCACGATCAGGTGTAACGTAAAAGAAACATGAAAAAATTAAAAATCGCCTATAACTCTAAATTCAATACATGAAACTGTCTTCTACGCTATAAAAAAATTCTATAATTATAATATAATGTGAATATAATGCCAAAATATTAATTCTAGAAAAAGTTTTTTGATTACTAATATAAATACTGAATAATTAGTATAGCCAATCAGAAGTAGCGGGGAAATTAGTAAACCCTTATCAAAACACCTCCGGTGAGTATTAAAAATTGTTTATTTCATATTAAAAATATATTAATTAATCGAAGACACTCCACGTTGACAGAAAATGGATCCATACGCGCCTATTCTTGATTGCAATATGCTATCAGCTTTATTTTGTTCTCGTTGTCGTCGACTTTTGAACCTACACCGTTTAAATAAACTAATCCTAATTTTTGATATCCAATTTTCTTGAATATTCGAATTTGTACTTAGGAGATTGCAGTCAAGTACCTCCGATCTTGTTAATAATCATACTATCTTACAATCTCAAAATCGAATTCTCGTAAAATGGGGTGATGAAATGGTTGAATTTTTAAGAAAAGATAGAGAAGAAAAAAGAAATCAAGACAAAGAAAAAGAATAAAGAAGTTAGGGTTGTGACTTAACCTTTTTTGAATAATGATTTTATTGTAATTGAGATTGGAAATCTAGATTTCTGCTTTAATTGGAATAATAACCAAAACCAAAATATTTTTGATCTCAATAGTATATATTAAAATAAAAAACTAGTAAATTTATTAAATCAATACTGTAAATTATTAAAATTTAGGTTTGTTATTAATTAAAAATTTAAAAGTAATTTAGCAATTAAGCAGAATAGTTAAATAAATTAGATTTTAATTTTTTATATAATTTTTATTATTTTAATATATACAATTTTATTTTAATAATCAATAATATATAAAATAATATATAATTTTTGAATTTTTAAAAAAAATAAAATATTTTTTTTTAAACAAAAATAGTTAATTTTTTTATTTCAAAAAATTTATAAGTTCAATTTTCAAAAAACTATTATATTGCTAATTTAAACTTTATATAATATATAATAAAATTTACAAATATTTTAGAGCTTTATATTTAGTTTTTAGAAAATTTAATAGAGATTAAATTAGGCGATACAAATAAAATAACCTGGTATGGCCTCACCTTTGAAGATTAAAAAAAAATAAAAAATAAAATAACCTGGTTTACATAACATTTGAAAAATTTTTGGACCCGGCCGCCCGGAAATCTTTTTTATATATGCAAAATTTTTTATAAATAAGACTAGTATTAAAGGACGGGCTAAATGGTATAAATAAACACTACAAACGGATGTCGCAACGACCGTTATATAATGAGACAATCGGGTTATATATGTTATGCGTCATTTCTCAATTATTAATTGACGCATTTCATTTTTCAATTTGAAAATGGTAGTGTTTTCAACAGATATTTGTATAAATTTACGATTAATAAAGAAATTATTACGACGTACGTATTTAAACTTATGTATATATGCATCATTTTTCAATTTATTTCAATTATTAATGCATATTTTCATTTTTAAATTAGAAAATGGCATAGGCCATTTTGTAATCAATATAATTTTAAAAAAAGTAATTATAACGATTTGATTAAACTCACGCTTCACGTGTGTGTTCAATCAAAATTTTATATACATACATATGCAAAATATTTTGAATATAATTGCTTTAACAAATAGAACGCATCCATGTCATCTCGAGTATAGCAAATTTTTCGATAGTGACTTAATTATAATTTGTAGCAATTTTCTTAAAAGAAATTCCAATTCTATTATAGTTGGACTTTTTGAATATTTTATATGAATATTTTAGGTTAAAGTGTTTTATGTAAATATTATGAATTAAGAGTTTTTATTATTACGAACTTGACATGTTCATCTGCAGTAAAGGTCCAGACTTTTTTGATATAATTAGATGCTTATTATAAACATCTCTGTTCTTCAAAAACTCTGCTTATTTCTCATTGGTGATAGAAAATTGTAACTTGTAAATCCAAAGTACTATGAAGAAAAAAAGTAAATGACAGTAAAAGAACTATTTATATTATGTCATTGCAAATTCATATTCATTTAATATGCGATTGATCAGTTTTATTATTGTATGCAAGTCTCATCAACATTAAGAACTGATTCGAGTCATTTTTCAATTGGTGAAATTTGAAAAATGATTATATATATGAAATTGTTAGATCTTCATTATTGTTATTTCTACGTATAAATTTTGAGGCACTTGAAAAATAACTGAAATGATAAGTTTTTGACATTAGCCAAAGTCAGTAATTTATTGATTCTGACTCAATAACTTATCGATTTGGTTAATGAAAAATATGAAAGCAACTAAAATACTGACTTTGCTGACAGAAATAAAATTAGGTTTTGTAAGATTCGGATGAATTTCGGCAAGGTGTTTTGCAGATCAGAAACTGATCAGTATCTGTATGATACTGATTCGGTATGTATATTATCATTAGAATTAGAAATTATAGCTGATTAGTATGGTTTTTAATTTTGGTCTGTATTGTACTGATCTGCTCACTTATACCATATTTAATATCATTTTGGCATGGGACATATTGATCATGAAAATTCATTCATTAATATAAGATACAAAGGTTATTTTTATTTTGCATTACACGGCATTCAAAATTTCGATCAGTAGTCGGGATTTAAATCTAAATTAATCTAGATTAATAGACTAAATTTCATGTAACCAAAGTTTTTAATTTCTAAGGCTTTCTCGAAAAAGTATTTTGCTTGTTCAGATGATTTCAA